GTGAAAATTTGGAACAATATTTAATATTGTGAAAATTTTTATTTACATATAAATTTTACATATTATATTTATATAAAATTTTAATTTTTTATTTTTTTATTTTTAATAATTAAAATTTATCATGACATTTTAAATAAAAAATAATTATTTTTTATTAATATATATGATAAAAATTAAATAAATCTTAACTATTAAAAATAAATCTAATAATTATTAACCCAACTCAATAACCTACCTGTTTAAAATAAGTTAGGGTTAAGCATTTTTAACTTGTGACCGGTGACCCATCAATTTCCTATTAAGAGAACCGACAAGTCATGGGTTAATAACAATGGATCAACCTGACAGGTTAATAAGCTAACCTATTTGACCCCCTTTTTTTTTTTTTTTTTTTTTTTTAAGTTTGAAATTATTATCTATTTTTATTGTTTTATTGTTTAATTTTATTTCCCACTCTAAAAGCTTAAGCGAAATTCCTAATTTCACTACATAGCTTCCTTCCTTTGAATCTTTGATCCTCTCATATTTTCCGATCATTTCAATTTTTTCGATCATTTCAATTTTTTTTATCAACTCAACATAAGCCTGTTGTGGCCTGTAAATAAGTGTGAGAATTAAAGTCTCTCCATGTTTGTTTGTTTTTTTTTTTTTTTTTTTGACAAGAACAATGATTAATAAGTTAGTTTTATTAGTTATTAGTAATTGAAGATTCGATTCTCAGATCTGGTGAACATCTCACCTCCTTCAATGAGGCGCGTGGCCCATTAGGCCGTTTGGTGGAATTCAAAGTCTCTCCATGTTTGTTTTATCATGAGAGGAGTGTATTTTAGGCATACCTTGGTAGATTGATTGAACTAATAATAAAGAGCCTCCTAGAAAACACAAGATATGGGATAGAGACGCACCAAGCCTGAATTGTTTGATGTATCTAATATTTTAGTAATAATTAAAATTTGAGTCATAATATTATCATATTAAAATTTTTCATCTCCTATTTTAAATTGTACCTGTTAAAAAAAAAAAAAAAAAGGTTTACAGACATAAAGGGTTGACAACAAGAACCATGGTTTTAAAACCCAGCCCAACCTGTCCGATCGAACCGGGCTGGTTACAAAAATGGGTCGCGTATATAGCACAACACATTTTGTAGAAACTCAACACACCTCCGGTCAGCTTCGAAATTATTTTTTGTTTTGTATTTTTAATTTTTTTATGCTTTGTATCTTTTTAAATTGCATGTGTTTAATTAAATTTAACTTTTTTAATTTACTTTTAAAGTGATTTTTAAGTTATTTTTAAAGCAATTATGTATTGTAAGTAAAATAATATCAATATACAATAGTAAAATATATATAAAAAATGTTTAAAAAGGAAATTTTTTAATTGATATGTCAAATTAATTAGTTAAATTAGTTGTCGATGACAACAACTACTATAGATGAGGGTCCATTTATCAATTTATTTTCAGTTAAATCCTCAATTTGGTTCTTGAATTATTGTATAGACCTCTAATTTGGTTTATGAACTAAAAAAATTCTTAATTTGATATCCGAACTAAAAAAATCCTTAATTTGATCTTTAAACTATTGTATAGACCCTCGATTTAGTCCTTACTATTTACCAATTTACCCCAAGTTGGTCCTTGCATACAAAACTAATTAACGTATTTTGTTATTAACGTGACATGTAACCGTTAAGTTACTGTTTTAAGGGTGTGTTTGATATATTAATTAATTTGAATTCATTTCATTTTCCTATATAAATTCTATTGTTTTTGAAAAATTTTGAGTTATGTGTCAAAAAAAAAAAAAATCTGAATTTGTTTGATTTTAAAAATCTATAAAATAAAAGTGAAAATTAGAATATTCTGACACTTTAAATGTCAAGATCTTTGTGAAATTATTTAAACATCTTTAACTTTTTTTTTATATATATTGATTCATTAAAGATATTTTAATTTTTCTATTATTATTCATGATATTTTAATTGTCAAAACAACCTAATTTCCCTCAATTCTAAAATATAATTTTTATCATTTTAAAAAAAGTCGTCATTTTGGAAGTTCATTATGTTTGGAATGATTTGTTTGAAAAGAAAAATTGAGTTTAATACTAGATTTTTCTTAAAACACCTTTATTGAAAACTTAAGTTTAAGTTATTAATAGTGGTTGTTCTCTACATTTATATACCAAATTCACTCACAGGCCCTTACTGATGTAAGATTCAAGGCATTATAACTTCCATCATTTAAATGCTTGATGTTCTCATTGAGCCTAAATACAATCAAAACTAAGCTTACTAGACCACAAACACAGAATTTACCTCAAGTGATATGAGGTTTTACACTACCATTGATTGTGATGCTCAACCTGGTTCCACACTCACAAGAGGTGACCGCTTTGATATCAACTAAAATGACTTAAGGTCAAAGCCTACTATTAGTATAACAACTCTTTGAGTCAAGATCCACAAACTCTCAAAAGTTTAAATTCAAGTTATTAATAATAATTAGTCTTTACACTTATATACTAGACTCACTCACAAGAAAAAGAGATTCAAGGCGTTATTGTAAAGGAAAAGAAAGTAAGGTTGTGTTTGGGATTACTTTCCTAGAGTGCTTTTTCATAATCATATTAATGTATATGCCTTTTTCCAAAACAATTATCAAATAATAACATAATTTTTCATATAATAGAAATTAAAGAAATGTGTAGATAAGGATGTCAAAGTTTAACTTTCTTTATTTAAAAAAGTCAATTTTCAACATTTTAGTTAAAAAGTTCATTTGATATGTTAGTGTTTACACCTAAAATAAACCAATAGGGTAAGGCCACGTATCAAGGTAAAGTCCAATTATCAAGAAAATCAATAGGCTGGATTTGGGCTGGGCTGGCTTACAATTTAACGGCCCAGACGGATTTTCAAAGGGGTTGGATCTTAGGTGGCAGAAGATAAGATTGGATCTGGTAGTTTGGATTTGATTTAAAATGGGAAATTGAGGATTTTTAGGTAGTTATCTTTAAGGTTGTTGGAGATAAAGTTAAATAAAGATCAGATAACTATTAAATAACTGCCAGACCTGCAATCCCATTACCAAATCATGGAGGAACAGTGCCGAAAATGGAGGAACAGTACCGAAGATCATGGAGAAGATCATGGAGGAAGTTACCAGCATCGAAAGGAACAAAAACAGAGAGAAGAGAACAGTTAGAGGCCTGCCCAACACACACACAGACTGCCCAGAGCATGTTTTTCAGCTTTCAGACTGCATTTTCCAGATTTCAGCATTAGTTTCCAGATTTTCCAGATTTCCCAAATTTCCCAGAATTTCCAGATTAGTTCATAGCCTTAGCCTAGGTTTGTTCATCATATTTTCTTCTGCAAATTCCAATTTAGATTAGTTTTTAAACATTTGGAAGCAACTTAGCCCTCAAAACAGGTCTGCCCTTTTGATCCGGTTAGTTCTTCTTCCTTTTATGGATTTAGTTATGTTATTTGTTCATGTAAATAGAATGAACAGTTTCTACCTTTGTTCTTTTGTTTCTGCATAATATCCAGACATGCAGTTTGTTTAATTTCAATTTCCAGATTTAAATTTATAAGTTTCCAGACTTTAATCATTTCATAGTTTCTTCTTCAATTTTAGTTGTCATTATGGGCTGCGTAGTTGAAATCATTGTCTGTTATTTTACTTTTTCTGTTGTCTGCGAATTTAATCTTTATGGCATGTTATTTTCTATTATTTACTTCATGTTATTTTAATTGCTTTAGGATATTGCATTTATTTTAGGATTTGTAGCTTTTATTACACTTGTTTGGTTGTGAAGTCCTTGGAGGTTTCCAAGGCAATTAGTAACCCATTTTGCAGAGCTCTACCATCTGTTTTGCAACATCGTCTGGGGGCGCAATTGATTTCACAGACGTTCTTTCCAGCCATCCTATTGGAGGTCGACCGCTGGAAAGGAGAAGGGTCGTCTGGAAAATCCTATTTTCTTGTTTTTAGACAAAGCAAGTGGCACACCTAAAATCCAACTCACGTGGTAAAGGTCGGCTGAGGATTTTTGAGGAAACAATCCTTTGTTGGCACGCCCGGTGGGACAACCAACAGGATGTATCAATTACAGTTCACAAATCCTCTGTTCGTACATTCAGAGGTGTCTGGAGCCATGCCACCGAGAAAGAGCAAAGATAAAGAGGTTCAGCCAGCCCAGGCTGAACATGCAAATGACAGTCCACTCCACTCTGAGGGTGAAAATGATCCCATTACTTTTCTCCCAGTGTCACCTTTGGCAGAACGGTCCTATGAGAATCCAATATTTAAAGAGAAAGAGGCAGACCGTGGGGGTGACTTTGCTAAGTCAAGTAATATGTTTAGAGGTATGATGGATCGTCTGGATATAGCATTCAAAGAAAAGAACCAGACTATGCAGAGACTTGTTGAGAGTCAAGCAGAATCTGCCAGACGTCAGGAAGAGATAATCAGACAATGTATGGAAGAGATGATACGGGTCTTTGAAGGAGGCACTAGGGTGATGCGAGAAACCGGGGAAAAAAGTCGTAGAACACTGCAGGCTGTTTCAAAACAAGTGGTTGAGCCAGTGCAACAGCCAAGACCTGAGATCCTTCCTCCAGCCGTTGAAATGCCCAGACAGATTCAGGAAGCCCCAATCCCAGCACTCGGGGGGCAAGGGAATCAGCCTCATCCCAATATTCAACAGCAGCATTTTGTCATTGGTGAAGGGCAAAGACAGCATGAACCAATGGAGGCTGCTGCTCCTGTTGCAGACCATGGCCATCAATCTCAGCATAAGTATATTCTGCCAGCTGGGAAGGGAAATGTGGGTCCTCATCATCAACCTTGTCCAAGGGACTTTTTCCAGCCACAAGTTCCTCCAGCCCAACCGGTACAGCGTGGTCTGCAAAATCAACCAGTTCAATTCTTCAATAGAGACCATGGGCCAGCCTTGAGGCCATTGGAAAAGATTGATAAGGGTATCTTGAAATTTCCAGACAAAGCGAAGGAAACCATGGGAGTGGATGCAGATCCTTTTCCAGCTGTGTCTGTGGGCGTGAATGTTGCAGACCTCAGGAGTGTTGCCAGAAATCGTAGTCTGCCTTATGCTCAAAGGAACCTTGCTGCAGAAGACTTAAGGTGGGTTCTTGAGGCACAGAGATCCAGACATAGCAGGAGTGTCAGGTCAGACCAACAGAGGCTCGAGGGGCAAGGAAGGATCATTGTGACCAGGAACTTCAGTCCAGAAGGTGCCAGACGTTATTCAACTGGTACTAGATCTCCAAGGATGGTCAAACCGCCACTCAGGTCACCTTCCAGACGGTGGGAGAAAGTCAATCATCCCAAGTTTCCAGCCCAG